AAAAAAAAAATGTTCAAAAACACAGCACGAACAATTATTCTGTAAGACCCCAATCATCTTCAAAATCGCCACATACAGAACAACGATTTTCGCCCCTCCCTTCCCAGAAAGAACGCCTTCTCCGGCGTGCAGAGCGCGTCGCTAGACCTCCGCCACAACGCCCTCGTGACGCTGTCTGAGCTCGTCCTGAGACCAATGATCGAGGAGACTCACGGCGCCCTCCACATCGGTGTCAATGGTACTTGGGCTTTGTGTAGCTTGGTTTATTTTTGGTTTAAATTATTGCCGTGATAGTGATTGGCTTTTGATCGTTCTGGTTTTATTTTATGTTGTTTTTATTCGGGTGTGATGTATGGTCTGGAAGGTAAGAGCGTATTGTCACATACCCTTTGTGCACGAAACAGATAATTGAATGGTTTACCCGGTACATAACCGTAGTCTTAGACACAGATGTTTGAAAACAACACTAGTTACGCACATGCAACAATTACAGCCACCTTCTATCACTGAATAACCGACCACTTTTCTCCCAATCAAGGAAATCCTCTGATTTGTGACTCAAACCTTTGCTGGATCGTGAAGAACCAGACCGTGGCGAGTTGCTTCGACAACTTCCTTTGCCCGAACCTGAACAAATACCTGAATGACATCAAGGACGAAGACTTAGGTGGCTGTCCAAGCAGTGGGTGATCAGCTAGAGTGATCGCTCAACCCTCATCGTAAATTTGGACGTCTCTTTCTCTCTGCTTTCACTTTACTTTTGTTTGTTTCTACCTCTATGTATGGAGTCTCTCTCTCTTTATGAGTCCTCCTTTCTCTTTATTTATGTTTCTCTTTCTCTGTCTGAGTCGCTTTCTCTCTTTCCTTCATTTTTATTTCGATATTATCGAAATGCAATAGCTAAGTAGTCGTAAAATAACCATTTGTATACTATTATAGTGTAGGATAATCATATCACAGATCTGAATGAAACTTTGATATGAGTTTGTCCTGATTCTGTTGCGCGATAAGAATATTCTTTGTTACGTTGTTCGATGTGATTTAGCTATAGAGCAATGGTTCCCAAAGTGGGCGGTGCCGCCGCCCAGGGGGCAGCGGGACGAAAGGGGGCGGTAGAGGGCGACAGGATATTAGTAGATAATAACGTGATAATACTTAATTGGTTCAGTAAATTAGGCTTTACTCTTGAAATACATCTGTTTAATCTTCTTGTTTTCAACTTAAAGCATACGTGTATGCACAAGGAATCCACCTGGAAGCCAAAGGGGTGCAGCCTGGAACAGTTTGGGAACCACTGCTATAGAGGGAATCATGTATAATGCATTTTAGGTATATATTCGTAATAAAAGGAATTTTAAGCAGTAAGTTATTTCACTTTTTAAAACATTTTTTGTTTGTTTTATCTAAATAAAGTTGAAAATCCAATTGGCTATCACAGTCCTTTATAACAATTTGAATACGTGGGGAGTATCATTATTTTGCCTTTGGAAAAATGTCGGCCCACAGCATAACATGACATACCGAGAAAAACAATAGCTATTTTGGTCAAAAAAANAGAAGAGAGAGAGAGAGAGAAGAGAGAGAGAGAGAGAGAGAGAGAGAGAGAGAGAGAGAAGAGAGAGAGAGAGAGAAGAGAGAAGAGAGAGGAGAGAGAAGAGACAGACAGACAGAGAGACAAGACAGACAGAGAGACAGACAGACAGAGAGGCAGACAGACAGACAAGAGAGAGAGAGAGAGCGAGAAGAGAGAGAGAGAGAGAGAGAGAGAGAGAGAGAGGAGAGAGAGAGAGAGAGAGAGAGGAGAGGAGAGAGAGAGAGAGAGAGAGAGAGAGAGAGAGTTTAAAAAAGATAACATAAAGAAACAGGAAATATATATCTAATATTTTGGTGATTTGTAATGATATTTTTTTTTAGCTAAACATTCATTTATATTGAATAAAAATCTAGATAAATAAAAGCATCGCATTGAAGCCAACATGAATACACCTAGAAGGATAAGTGTAAATGCAATGTACCTGTGAGGGCTGTAATTTGACAATGTAAAGGCTATATTTCCATGTGTGATGGCTATGCATTCTAATTCTATCCAAACATCAAAATGTGTCTCTTGGACTAAGAAAACTCAACTAACCTGCTTCAAGACATCTTCAGTCGTACCAAAGTCCAGATTCTTGACAAATATGGTTGTGTCTGGTTCTGGCTGGGCGTCGGGTTGAACAGGGTTCCTCCCCTCTGCATCTTCACTCTCTCTCTCTGGAAAGAAATGGATAATAATCTCTACAAGTGATTTTATTAAACCACTAGCCACTGGGTGGCATGTACGTACATGCCATGGCTGTTGTGGACCAAAAAACATAGCATCGTATCATGACTTATATGGAAAAGATTTTAGGCAATAGCACTTTCAAATTCATAATATTTTTATAAATTATAGCAAAATAAAAGCTTTTAGGTGCCAAATGTTGCTCGCAAACTACTGGAAGTCAAGCAGTGCAAACGGGAAACTGCCGACAACAATCCCATTATTACGTCCACTTACCAAACTTTTACACCCAGCAGCAATGGGTATATTCTGAGACTGCCACAGGGTAGTCTTTTGAAATTAAAATCAAAAACTGAACTTCCACTCCAAATTTTCATACATGCGCACGCACATTTCTATCACTATCAGCAAGAATATGGATAAAAATATTTCTCACCTGTAAAGTTGTGTCTTCACTACCAGGTTTGATGGAGATTGCCACTGAACTCTGACCTGAACACATTCAGGGGCGCCCATTCCAAATACAGCGGCAAGTACTTGAACTTGGAGTAGGCAAGGTTTTTGAAGCCCTTCCTTGCCTCACTTGGATCTAAGTATTCTACAACGCCTACAAGATGAGGGAAAGAGGGAGTGATTTTTTTTTTTCAACATATAAGGAAAACTATAAAAAATAATAATAATAATAAGTTATTTAAGAATAAACATCATTATTGATTTCACGTTAACAATATCATGGTATTATTCTATGAAACATTTA